CCCAAGCCTATGCAATTAATTTCTTCACAGGGTGCTTTCTTCCATTCTCTATTCAGAAAAAAAACCTAATTAAAACCCCTCATTGATCACTTGTGTTAACATGTGCCTATGTGAAAGTGCTGTATGAAGCAAAGAGGAGCTTAAATCCATATAATCTTGTGCAGCTTGAGTAATGTACACAGGATGAATACCAAAACCACCCAATTTAGATCAAAATAGCATGAAAGGCTGGACAACGCCAAAAGCATTTAGAACTACGAAGCCTGCCTCTTTCTTTTCCTGTTTTCATGCAGGTATGGGAGGGATGTGTAAAAAAATACATTGCATTTCAAAGTGAAGGTGGAAGCAAGGAGGCAAATACAGCAGCTTAACTGGGCTGATCTCACCGTGGCCGATGCATTGCTCGCCTGCTGCGCAGAAACCTCATAAGGGAGGCAGGGGGAAGAGGAGTGCAGAAAAGCTCCCGTTACTCTAAGGAGCAAAGCATGCCCCAGGCTTGCCTTCATCTGTGTACTCTTTTTGGTGATATTTAATACCGGTCTAACCTGTAAAATGTTTGCTGAAAAAGGGGTTTTTAAAGACTGCACAGGGCTACTGTTGGGTGGCTGTGCTGTGTTTGCATCGTGACTAACTGGAGGTTTTAGCCATGCAATTTCTTTGGCATTTGAAAGAGTAAACTGAACTCTTTTTTTTTTTTTTTTTCCCTTAAAGATAATGCTAACAATTTGCTTGAGAGCCTATTGGTTCTTCTGGGAAAAAAAAATTATTGTTAAATTATAACTGAAAAAAATAACATCTCCGGTTTGCAGAGAGGTACGCACGTGAGAAAGGGTGAGGTTAGCTTTTAACATCTACTGAACTAAGCAGGTGTTAAAATACAAGATTACAGGAAAATGTAAAGGGTTATGTAAAATGCAAAGAGTCAGTCCCTTAATAAGTCTAGTCTGAGTCTTCACTGCAGAGTAGCTACATTATCTGACCAGAAAGCCCTAGGGAGGCTCAGGCCTTGAGGGAAACAAAATATTGGATTTGGCCTTTTTACTCTGTGGGAGTTTTAGGAGTTCCCTAAGTGGGCTGATGGCAGAGAGAGAGGTATTTTTTTTCCCGTCTCTGTTCAAACAATTATCATATTTATTTAGTTACTCCACAGATAAATGTAGGAAAATAACTCTGTGATAAAAGCTGATGTTCTACAGACTTCCAGGCTGCAGCGTGATCCGTGCTTGCTGCCAATAACTTGAAAATTGCATTTGCATTTACTTGTGCAGCAAAAGCCTGGGCTGCTGTCATTAGGCTGAGCAGCCAGTGCTGTGCTGTCAAGTGTAGCGGAACAAATTCCTTCCCAGCAATGATAAAAATGCAAGATAAAATAGCTAATTCTGCTGCATTGAACACCACACAGACCCTTGAAAATGTTCCCGTATGAGTATTTTGGTATTCAGGTGTACACAGACTCCAGGACAGACAATTCATCTAAAAACACCTCTGCAAAATCGTCAAGCCTGTCCATCCCATGTAAAGCTTCTGTCCATACCAGAGGCAAATGTCACAGTGGGGACGGTTGTGACATGTAACTGCAGGGAGGCAGCTTAATAAGAGAAAACTCAAGGGAAAGGAGGAAGTCTTGTCCTCCCAAAGAATTGGGAGTGGTGATACCTCCCTTTTTCCCTTGGGTGAAGGTCACCCTCGGCAGGTCACAGCCTGATTATTCCCAACCCTGAGAAAGCAGAAAGGATGCATGTGTAAGGCGTTCATTTTCATGCCCCGCTTCACACATGCAGTCTGCACTTTTCCTAATAAAGAGCGGGGGACCAAGATGAGTGGCAGGATTTGCTTTGCCAGAGCAGACCTGGAGCTATTCCAGCGTGGAGGTGTGCACAGTACATGCTGTCCAGGAAGGCTGACACACACTGATCTGCGTATTCACCTTTGAGTTGCATCAGGATAAGCATTTACATAAATTAAAAGTGAGAAGAAAGTGGTATAAAGCTTTCCTAACTTGTGAGGAGATCACTGTTCTGCACAGCTTTACAAAGCAGCGGCAGATCAAATATACCTTACCCACTCGAGCACCACAGGCAGGATTTGTCATTACACCTGTGTAACGGGATTGAAATCAGTGGTATAAATCTGATCTAATGAAATGGAAAATCAGAATTTTATTTCTAGCAGTGCCATTATGGCAGCGTGTCTCCATCCTGCCTGCTAGTACAACCTATGACTACAAGTCCCAGTTTTCTATCCAGTGGTTATGAAGTGCTTTAAGAGTCTCAGAGGGAAGGCGTTATAGAAAAATAAGTTTCTTCCTGTTGCTATCTAACCAGGCAGCTATTCCAGTCTGTTGACTGATATTTCTCTGCAGTGCCTTCTGCAGCTTTCAAATAACGGAAGCACTGGCGGCTTGAACTCTTGTCCTGATGCTTATGAGAGAGCCCTGTACCAAAAGGTGTCAGGAATACAAAATCATGCCCTGGCTTTGTGTTAAAGAGAAGCCCCAGAGTACACAGTTATATGTTACCCTGTGAAAAGATCTTACTTCTACTCTAAATTATAGATTAGTACTTTTCAATAACTTCCTCGTTCCCTTCTTGAACAACCTAGCTTTTTGCCTTTTTGTAAAAGAGAAGCCTTAGCAAACACAATTTCCTTCAGTACTGGTGCTGACTCTGAATGCACTGAATGTATGTAAATGAAAATGTTAGGGGGGTTGTGCTTCCTGTGATTTAAAGTCTGAGTATTCAAAAAAAAAAAGTGTATACACATGCATAAAGCATGAATTTGTATGCTCACGAATGCACAAGTGCATCACGTTTTCATACAACAAGTACTTTTGTAATTGTAAGGTATGCACAATCAAATCCCTGTTTGTTCATCTGTCCTCAGAAAGGGACACCTTCTGGGAAATCAGGTGTCCCAAGGATGGGGGGTCAGCAGTGCCTGAAAACCAGAGTTATCCTTGGTGGCTCAAGCTGAGCATTTGAACACTGAGGTGCTAAAATTAATTTTAATCCCACTTTTTAAAATTCTCATTTTTTTTTATGTCAAACCAACTACTCCCTGGAGCAAGGTTACTTACACCGAGTGAACTTTAGGAAAGAAAGCTTGACTGCACCTTTTTGTTATTATTTCCCAGTGCCCTTTCTAACTTGACCCAGACAAAAGTTCAAGTTAAGCATTACACTAAATTAAAGATTTGCCAAGCCCAAAACATAATGCTTACTTCATGAATGAAAATGGTATAAAGAGCATATGTTAACACTTTATTTTCTATTGTTCCAACCCTAAGTTAAGAAAAAAAGATGTGAGAGGAGAAAACTGCATGATAGAAAGCTGTTATGAAATGTTAATGGTCACTAAGCAGCTGGAGACTGAAACTCTGGAGTAGGACCTCCTGGCGCCGGCTATCTCGGCTCCCGTTCACTCACTCGCGTAGTGGATGTTGTCATTGCCATTGAGACTCCAACTATATAGAGACGATGTATTTACTTTGTTTTGTCCTTACTGTATCACTGGCGTGATTTATAAATTAAATGGCAGAATAAAACACAGGTCTAAACCACAGGTAAATTAAATGGCAGAATAAAACACAGGTCCTAGCTGCTCTTACCCTGATACTCCTCTTCCAGTGTCTTCTCAAGGCAGTTTTAACTGAATAAAATGACTCAACTTCTGTCAGCTGGAATAATTCCCACAAACGCTTCTGTCACCTTTAAAGATTTGCCTAAAGAAGTATTTGCAAAATGGAGGAAAATCATTCCACCTTTCTTTGTGGTTATTATTCAGAGAGCTATTAATCATTACCTAAGGCATACAGGTAGAGCATATAAACAATTGCAACATATGAAAGACAAACTTTGCAGAATCTGTTATTTCACCGTGATTACAAAACAACAAATCTGAAAAGAAAATACCTGCCAGGAACAGAGTTGCTGGCAAGGAAATAATTGTGCTGGAAGAGAAACGGCTTCATTCATAAAAATACAAGCTATTAAACGTTCCTCTGTTATTTTTACACACACACACACACACACACACACACACACACACACACACTTTTAGACCTGAAACAAAGACAGCGACTTATTCTTTCTCCGGATGCCGACGGATGGGTCCGTCACCGCCCGGCTTGCCGCTTGGCCAAGCTTGCCGCGGCAGGGATGCTCGGCTGCGGCTGGGAGCGGGGTCAGCCGGCGGGGCCGGCGGCAGTGCCTCCTCTCCCACTCGCTGCTGCTCTTTTATGTTTTCGCGGGCTGGCAACCCATGCCGTTCCCCTGACAACCGGGGGAGCGGGCCAAGGTCTACCCCGGTCATTAACGCCACCGCAGCAGGACACCCACCTGTCTTTATCATCTCTGCTCCTACACCGTCGGGTGTGCCATCCTACACGAAGGGCTGGCCTCAAAATGCTTAGAGGTGACCGACGGCCTCCCTGCTTGCTGTAGGAGGGGAGCCGGGGTGCAGCCAAGCAGTGGGAGCTGGTGACCCGTGTTCGCAGGGGGATGGCCAACCTGGTGCCGAGGGAGGGAGACGGGATCTCTGGCATGCTGTGCTCCCCTCCCAGCACTTCGTTGGTCCTCCACGTGGGGAGCCCCGTGACTGTCCCCATGGGACATATTCTGCTCTGCCTGCTTTCTGGGGCTTTGTGTGCAGGTTTAAAACAAGAAAAACCCAGGTCTGGTTTGAAAGCCTGCTCATCCAACTGGAAGGAGTAACTGGAAATTTTCAGTCACAACTTATCAGAGGCACAACGTGGCTCTCAACCACGGCTCAAATGCTGTGGATGCTTCTCCATCATCCAGCATGGAAAACAACATCTTTGTGGCATGTTTTACAGCACTGTTACCGCAGGAGAGTACCTACCAAAAGCTAAAATCTCTGCAGCTAGCCTGGTACTAACTAGTCTGAATAACCAGTGGGATTAGTTGTAAGGACAGGCCAGTCATAAGCAGGTTCACAAGGAAATGCAGTAGGAGCATCCCCCAAAAAAAACATGAGGCAACATGCTGCGGCGGCAAAGGTACTCTGGCAGGGCACCAGTGGGGAACGAAGAGTAAAAATTGTTGTGATTCAAATGAAAGGATATTTGCTGCTTTTTCAAAAACAATGCCTCGCCTTTACATACCCAGGAGCCCTCTGGGAACTGCTGATGCTGTTACCTCAGTAAGGGCATTTGGCCAAAGCCAGGGGTTAGAGTGTCATTTAGGTCCAATTCAGAGAAGTATTTGGGCATTTTATTGTCACTGAAACCACTGGTAGTTAGACACTAAAATGCTGCTGTGATTCAAGCCCTACCTACTTATTTATGAGATGTATTGCATATGCAAATGTAAAGGAAAAAATCCAACTAATTATACTATAGATATTTCAAGTAAGTTGTCTAATTTGTGAATTTGGGATCTGTGACTGTACATTTTTTTTCTGGAAGAGCTGGTGTGTGAGAGACTTCAGTCCCCCCCCTTTATTCAGAATTGAAGGAGCAGTATTTCACTCTCTGCCCATCAGAAGTCCATTCAGATGCCTGAATTCCCAAGATGCCCATTCAGCTCCTGACGGAGAGGTGCTCTGGGGAAACCTGTTTTGTAATAAATACATGGGCTGTCCACCAGGCAAATATGAGGAGCGCATAGGATCTGTTCACTAGACTACTTCTGTGTTGTTAAAGTTACACAATAAGAGACACTTTGCCGTACTTATATCACATGTAAAGTAGTGGCGTGTTTGACTCTGTATACACGTATCAGAAAGTCTGTTGTATTTCAGGATAAACTCCACTTTAAACCCATTTTGCCCTTCTTGGATATATCTAATAGGGGAAGATCTTCATTCCCTCTTTGCTTCAAACCATCCTTCGCTTTATGTTTTCCTTTAGGGCTAACACAAAGTACCTTTATTTCTGGTAATTTCAGTCTTCCTTTGGGTCCATTGGGTGTTGTCAAGTAATCTAAGAAAGGGTCTGGCTGGCAGCCAGCTCAGTAGCCCAGCTGTGGAAACTGAGAAAACGCGGGTTTGACACCTGTGTGCACCTCCACTCCAAGGACCTGTTACCAACAGGTTTGGGGCAACTCTGAATGAACATCCTCAAAAGAGAACATTATTTGCCCTTGTCATTCAACAGCACAAAACATGAGAAAAGGGTAAACCAATAAAGAGTCTTCCCTTAACCAGATTGTAATCTTTTCTTGCAAAATATTATCATCTGGCACAAGCAATACAGAAGAAAATGATAGGTTGTTAAGGCTGGCTCATCCTTCCTTTGTGCAGGGCTGAGCTGTCCCTGGGGCAAATGGGGAGTTTGAAGCTGAGTGACTGCCAGCTTCTTGCTCCTCCACCTTGACCCACCACATTGCTTGCTTATGTTGCTACTGCCGTGTTATGGCACAAGGAAGGAAAGGTCCTTCTATTGACGTGCCTCACTGTGAAAATATAAGATGCTGTCAATTGTAAAAACATGGTTTATTAAAAGTTATTAGATTTTCCTCATGCCTATTGTTTGTTGCTTTCATGTGCACTACAAAATGTGCATGCCATTCATGCTAACTGAAATACAGTTATTTTTTTCTGCTCTAGTGGTTTCTAAAGAAGTTTTGTATTGCAATGCCCAAGAGTTTGATGTTCAAGAAAAACAAGATGAGGCCCACAGTCTTACAAGTGATTTCATCTTGCTGCTGAGAACTTGTGGACAATGTGTTTATTAGACATCACTTGCACGGAGGTTGATGTTGCATTATAGGTGGGAGCAATGGGAAGCTCCAGTCAGGACTCATTGTCTCTCACACACTTGTGTCTGCATGCATGATTTTTGACATTTTGAAAAAGCTTGCTCGTCTTCTTCACACACAACTATGCAGGCGATTAGGTACAGAGCCAGCTTTTGCATCCCCAGCTCTTCAGCCGTTACCGCTCAGGAGGGTACTGTCAGGTAGGCAGTTTCACAGAATCCCAGAGTCACTGAGCTGGAAGGGCCCTCAGAAGATCTCTGGTCAAACCTCTTGCCCAGAGCAGGGCCTGCTCTGGCATCAGACCAGATTAGGTCTTGAAAACCTCCAAGGATGGAGCCTGCACAACCCCTCTGGGGAGCCTGTTCCAGTGTTTGAGAATTTTTTTCTCTTATATCAAGTTGGGTCCTCCTGTATTTCCCACTGTCTCTTGCTTTCCCATTGTGCACCTCAGTAACAAGTCTAGCTCTATCTTTTTGATGACTTCCCAGTAGATATGGGGAGGTGGCTATTAGGTCCCCCCACAGCCTTCTTTTCTCAAGGCTGAAGAAGCCCCATTCCCTCTGTCTCTCCTCATAGGACAAGTGCTCCAGCCTTGACCATTCTGGTGGCCCTCTCCTGACCTTGCTGCAGTTTATTGATGTCTTTCTTGGACAGCGAATCCCAAAACCTACAAGCATTACTCCAGATGCAGTCTAACAAGTGCTAAATCCCTTCCCTTGATCTGCTGGCTGTGCTTCTGTTCAAACAGCCCAGGATGCTGCTGGCCCTCTCTGCTGCTGGGGCAGGCTGCTAGCCCATGCTCAACTTGCTGTCAGCCCAGAACCTCAGGGCCTTTTCTGCAGAGCTGTCCCCAACCAGTCAGTCTCCAGCCCTTACCATAGCAAGGGGCTATTCCTTCCCAGGTGCAGAATTTGGTAATTGTTCTTGTTGAATTTCTTGAGGTTCCTGTCAGCCTTTCTTGCAGCCTGTTGAGGTCCCTCCGAGTGACGGCCCTGCCCTTAAGCATATCAACTCATCCCCCCAGTTTGGTTTGTTTGGTATTGAACTATTCACCCCAGTCTTTGAGCTCAGCACAATGTTTCTTTGCCTCAGGTTGCCGTATAGCTTCAGCTCTGGAAATGTTAATTGTCAAACCCAAGCATCTGGACAGCACGGTGAAGCAAACTGCTGGTAGCTTCAGGTCTATGCTAAAAATGCTGAGAATTTCTGTGAAGTGAGATTTGAGTACCTGGCTATAGCTACACAGGGGAGGCAGCTTTCAAAGTCTGTGGTTTCCCCCAAGAAACCCTTCTTACAAGCCGCTTATCTAGCAGGGGGAGAGGGAGGTGGAGAGATGGTGTCTGCAGGACGGCTTGGTGCGAGGTGCACGGCTGCCATCCTGTGGCATGCAGCCCGTCCGTGGGCTGCTGCAGGGCACAAGGCATCTATTAGTACCAGTTATTAATATCTGAATTAGCGTAACATCTTCTGAGCCCAGCTAACATCATGCTGCTATTTAGACAAGCTGCTGTACAAACCGAGAGGAGGCCCCTGCCCTGAAGGGTCCAGAACGAAACAGGGACCCAGAAGGAGAGCTCCTGAGGTCACGCAGTGGAGTGGAGGGGAAACTGGGGGGCTCTGCCATTTAAATGACAGCACCTTTGCCTTCATCTCTGCCTGGAGTATAATCCTTGTCGTCAAGACTTTCCTGTCCACACAGGAGAAAAGTCCCACTATTCCAACTAAGTCTCTGAACTATGTAAAAAATAAAAAAACAACAAAACAAAACTGGTCAAGAGTTCATTGTTTCAGTTGTACCTTCCTGCTCCACAGAGACTGCCCACAGTGCTGTGCTCTAGCTGTGGACGGGTTAGCTGACTCTCCTGGACATATTAAAATTAATGACAGAAACCCAGAAAGGCAGAGCTTGAAGAGGTCTGAAAACCTTGTATGCTCCATTCCTCGGGCTGTAAAGCAACTGCAGATCATCTTTGACAGTCTCCACTTACAGAGATTCCAATGCCTTCCTGTTTAACTTGTTTCAGTATTTAATCAAACTTAGCATTAGAAAGTTTTCCTGAGTATATAACCTGCAAATAAAGTAAATTGTTTTCTCCCCTCACTCTCGGTGGACCACGTATTTTAAAAATAAATTTTAAAGCGGTCATTTTGAGTCTTTCCCTTTTCTAGAACAAACAGCTCTGTCACCTTGTGCTCCTGAGCCAAGTTTCTAGACTTTGCCGAGATGGTGGCTGAAATCCAGCCCAACCTCCCTTAAGCCTTTTCCCTCTGACTCCCTGCATCTAGCAGGGTTGCTGCAGCAGGAGCGTGCCCTCTTTTCTACCTATGGGTAGCTCTCTGCTCAGCCAAGGGGCTACCATGAGCAACCACCAATCCCCATAGTACCATAGTCTATTAGACAGCAATTTCTTCTTCTCTTAATTGGTAAGTTACTTCCCTGAGGACCAGATTCTGCAATATGCCAGACACTCCCACCCCTGTCATTTCAGCTCTCACAACACAGTAGGCTCAGACTCTAAACCTCTTATGGGTTCAGAGCCAGGCTGAGGGATGAATATCAGCCTTGCCTGGGTTCAGCTCTGTTTTACAGACTCATAAGTGAGCCAAGCGGCTTTTGTCCAGCAGTGTTCCTGCTTATGTCTGGCATCTCTCAGTATCTCATCACGGGGAATGGTAACATGTTCCTATCTGTGTGCAAAGTGGACCACTACAAAAGCACTTGCATAAGATGACTGATACCTTTTGCCACTTGTCTTTGAAGGAAAAGAAATACACCTGTTAGCTGTTCTGTGTATGTGCATATGTATATATGTGCATATATATAGCTTCTTGAATTGGGAAATTATTCTGAGTTTCAGCATTCCTCCGGGGAGAATGTGAAGGCTTGAGATTGGGGTGCTTTTACCTCTTATCCTGTGCATTCTTCTCCTGTGAATGTGAAGAGAAATCATATAATGCATCAGAAATGCTACAGCCTTAGGTCAATAAAAATAAGCAGCAATTCTGCAAGAAGCTAAGCAGTAGAGAGGTTTTTATGGAACAGAGTATACATCCCACAGTATGGAAAAGTATAATATCCCATATGCTGACATAGAGTGATTATACATATACATATGTTATGTATATACTTATTACAGCAGTATAAACCCATGTGAATTGAATGATGATTGGGCGTGATAAATCGATGCTTGCTTCTGAGTTGACTAGGGTTAACCATTAAGGTTGGTAGTCACTGTTCAGTGTCATCCATAAAGTGAACTGGATGTTTTGTCGTCTTGTCAAGGGGTAAACATTTCTA